TGGTTTTTTTTTTTAACAAAAAATTTACTTAGCATAAATATGATGATTAATCATAAGGGATAATAACCCTTTTTTAAATAAATAAATATATGCATATATATATATACTGTATAGTATACGTATGATTATATCCAATATCGTATAACCCGGCGGATGTTATACGTAACAACATTTTATTATTAAATTTTAAACCTAAATACTGTATTTAAGTTATTACGAATAAACAGACATTTGGATACAGTATATCGGACAATTATTTTTAGAGAATGTCAGATAACCAGAGTTATGTGTGGTGCTTTTTTAGCATTATACAATATGTAATAACTAGTTATTAGTTATTATTTATCAAAAACAAAGTTTACAATTTTGCCTCCGCTAGCATGAATAATTTTTTTAATTTTTTTATCAGCATTTACTTTTTCAATCCATTTTTTTCCATTCTCGGATTCTAGAATCAAATTTTCGACGCTGAGATTATCTTGTAAAATTGTTGATGGAATCATAAGTGAGAATCTCATTTTTCCGTTAATCTGATAAACAAAAATTAATTAATAAATAAATAAATATAATAAATTCAAAAAAACCTAATAAATGTTTCACCTGAACAACACAAGTAACTTCATTAGCACTTAAACATTCTGTATCAACTTCGGGCCATGATTCTTCAAATACAGATGTACTTTGTTTTCCTTGATTTAAAATTTCCCAAAATTCTTCTCCTATACTAGGTGCCATTGGTGCCATCATTTTTACCAATGTTTTTACTCCATACTCGTATGTTGGTGAAATAATTGTGGATTTTGATGTATTTTCATTTTGATATGGTGAAATACTTGTCAGATGATTTGTTAGCTTAATTAGTGATGATACTGCTGTATTAAATTTTGAATCTTCATAATCCGCCGTCACCTAATAAATTTTTTTTTTTAATGATTTGATTTGGCAATGTAATTAACATTAATGAATTTCGTAAGATTTGACCCTTGATAATGTATGCTAACCTCTTTTATTGTAATGTTTATGATCCTAGATGTTTCTTTATCTTCTTTACTAAACATATTCATATTCTGATTACTTGTTGGCTGAACTTTTTCAATAACATTTTCAACCATTCTCCAAACACGAGCAATCCATCTCTGCATGCCAACTATACTAGCATCTTCCCATTCGAGAACTTCAGATACAGGTGCTTTGAAAAGTATATGTAATCTTGTCGCGTCAGCGCCATAGTTATTTATTGTTGTCTAAACAAGTACAAAAGAATCATGAAAAAAACCC